TCCTGCGGTGGTCCGGCGGTGGCCCGGCGAGACTCCTGCGGTGGTCCGGCGGTGGCCCGGCGAGACTCCTGCGGTGGTCCGGCGGTCGTCGTAGAGGAGCTCCCTCCTCTTCTTCCTTCTCTTCTCTTCTCCTCTCTCTTGCCTGGATCCCCCCCATTGTGATGAATGAGGGCTCTATTTATAGATTTTCTGGAGTGGCATGACCCGTAAATAGGTGTGAGATCAAGGGCGAATAGGGAGTGGTTTGAATGGATGGCCGATAGTGAACCCTTCGATCATGCACCGTTTGTTAGACATTTGAATGCCTTAGTGATGTCCGAATTCGGTGATCTTGGGGTCGTTGGATTCGTCTCGTCGAGCCGTTCGATTTGAGTATAAGCTCGTCAAAATCGGAGTCCGTTTGGTAACTCGAATTGTGGTTTGAACCTTCCAATAGCGCTTCAGGATCATGATTTGGGCCCATTTGGGCTCGGATTGGGTCGAATTTGGTGTCATTGGATTCATATTTCCAAGACGCTCAGTTTGACAATAAGCTCGCTGAAATCGGAGTTCGGGTGCTCCCAAAATTAATTTTTGAAGTTTCCAACTAGCTTTTGCCTCGAGATTCGTGCCCAATCAAGCTAATTTTTGTGATGACGTATCAATAACGGTGTTTCAAAAGTGTCCAGTCTCACCACAAGGTGGATCGTGAGTCTACAAAGGGCATATAAAAGGCATATTTGAGGTTGGAGGAAGCTAGAGCTAGAGATGGCCAACAACAACCTCATTTAGGAGCATCAATGAAGCATTCTAGGCCCATAATGGAAGTAGATTTCGAGGGGGACAGACAAACATATCAGTAGGAGGAGCTTAGAGGGAGTCTATTGCATTGGTAGTGCAACTCCAATCTAGCCCAAAGTATACATTCTAACCCAATAGGAAGCAAAGGATTTGTTGTTGTTGTTGTTATTGATGCTTTGTTGATGTAGTTTCTTAATCATAGTTCTCTTGCTACCAAAACTAGTTGATATAAAAATATTTATCATGTTACCTACTTCTATTTGACAATAAAGTAATAATTATATTAATAAATTTATTATCCCAGCTCTAAAATTTTGAATACTCATATAAACAATTTATAATTAGAAGACTTCAAGGTGTTGGGATATTGAGCCAACTTCTTTTATGTTTGTTATGCTACCAAAAAATCATTTGATCGAACACAAAACTTGAATTGAAAACTTTCAAAATTAAAATCATAACCATCCAAAATTTGATTTCAATAAACTTATAGTGGAAATAAACATTTCAATTAAACGAGCCTAATGATAGCAAATGTATTGACCCTAGTCTAAATGAACCCAAATAATGCACGTAAAGCTTGGTTAAAAGATCTATGGTGCAATTTGAGGGACCAAATGTTATTTGAATCTCGAGTGTATACTATAAAAAAGAATGTTTCAGAAGATAAATCTATCAAGCTCAAAATCACCCAATTATAACTTTAAAAATAAGATCACAATTAATTCATCATAAATGGCTAATCAATTAAAAAGAAACCTATGGATTAATAAATTAAATAATATAAAATCGACCTTGCAACTTAAATGCTTTACCTGAACTAGGGTAGCTAACTTAGTAAATTTTTTGTTCAATCATTCAATTCAAGTCATTTTTATATCAAATAATTGTGTAAAATGATTTATTTAACATTCAATCATTATAAATTAATATAATTACAATTAGCTAGACAACCAGTTCTGATATAGACGGTAAATAAGCATTAATTTTGTAGTAAAAAACATAATAAATACGATGACCAAAATTAGAAATACACATCAAATATGAAGCCAATAAGCATCGTTTGAACTATAAAAATATGCATTTAATTTAAAAATAAATTACTTTCAAAAATACATATAATTCTTAAAATATGCATAATGGCAACATTGCTGTAAATAAAACTTGGAAGGAGCATACGCAACAAATACATATGAACTACACAGTATATCCACAATTTAATATGCAGTGAATACGTAATAAAAACGCATTGAATACGCAATAAGTTATTTGTTCAATTATTTAATCCAAGTCATTTTTTTATCAAATAATTGTGCAAAATGATTTATTTAACATCCAATTATTACAAATTAATATAATTACAATTAGCTAGACAACCGATTCTGCTGTAGACAATAAATAAACATTAATTATCCAGTAAAACTCAATAAATACGACGACCAAAACTAGAAATACACATCAAATATGAAGCCAATATACAACATTTGGACTTTAATAATGTGCGTTTATTTTAAAAATGAATTAATTTAAAAAATGCATATAATTTTTAAAATACGCATAATGGCTACATTGCTGTAAAGAAAATTTGGAAGGAGTTGAACTTTACAGATAAGTTGAATCCTACTTCTTCAAAACCTAGCTTTCCCTCTGGTTGCAACTATTATGCTTCTTGGACATATGCATACCGAGTTTCGGCCTCCACACCCTGTGAGAATATCGTCTCCTCATAAACAGAAATGTCATCCTCCATATCAATCTTCATCTTCATCGACATTTTTTCTACTAATAATTTACCCTAAAATTCTTATATATTGCGGTGATTCATGGATGAAATCTTGAAAAAAATAAACGTCAACCCTAAATTTAACGTTTGGACCGGATAGATATACTAGAGAAATGAATATATCAAAAATCTACGTCGACAACTTACACATAGACAATCAACACGTAATAATTTAGGCTTTGTTTGGGACGGCTTTTTTGTTGCTTCTTAAAGCAATTTCTTAGCATCAAAATTAAAATTTTTCTACTAGAAAGCTGCTTTAAGAAGCCATAAGAAAGCCGTTAATTAGCGTTGGGACGCAAAGCTATGCCCGGACTGCGCACAGATTAAGGCTTCGTTTGGGACGGTTTTTTTATTGTTTTTTAAAACGGAGTTGTAGTACAAATTTTTTAATTTTTGTACTAAAACTTCATTTTCAAAAGCAATAAAAAAGCCGTCCCAAACGAAGCCTAAATTCTCTGCCGGTCGGGTTTAAAAGAAAATCTCCTAGGCTAATCCCATAAATAACGGACCGGAGGCCGAATCATCCGAACCGTCTTCGACCGGCAGGCTATATAAATCGAACCATGAAAACGGTAGCGAACCCTCTCGACCTCTATCGAAGCAGCAGCCCGCAGGTCGAGCTTACCCCCCTGCTCCACTTCTTCCTTTCCTTCCTCGCTTCCATTTCCCCGCGCTTCGAACCCTTCTTTCCTTCTTTATCGCATCCATTATTCAATAATTCGTCAGATCTACGTTTCCTTCTTCCGATCGAGTAAGCATTTTTTGGGATTACTAGATCAGGAAGCGCCGCAGATCTTGATATTACACTCTTCTTTTTCTCCTTCTCGTTTCAATCTAGTGCTGGATTCGACATGATGAAGATAGGGGAATATGCCTATTACAGCAAGAAGCAGGAGCGGCAGAACCGCAGATCGATGCAGACCTCTGTAGAAAGCGGTGCAGCCAAAGCCAATTTGAAGGTAGCACGTAGAGAAGCTTCGCCCCTTTTACCGCTCCCGTTACCATCTCCCTCCTCGTCCGAAACGACTTCAAGTACCTACTCCCGGAGGAAATACTTTACGCCGTATTTGTCGGAGAAAGCGATCGAAGTGGCTATTGCGAGAGGAAATGCCTTCAAAGCCATCTTTAGGGTGAATGCACACAACCGCCTGGATGCCTATTGCACCATCGAAGGTGTTCCCGTTGACCTTCTCATCAAAGGATTTGAAGCGCAGAATAGAGCTATTGAAGGTGATGTGGTCGCAGTCGCTTTTGATCCTGTGGCCAACTGGACCAGGTTTAAAGGACCAAATGTAAATACTTTGCTCAATTTCGTGTCAGCCAATGAATCTTGTAGTAGCAGTGGTAGGTCTGAGGGAATTGATGTTACTGATGCAAACTGTTCATCAGAACAAGGGGAGGTTAACAGAGCTGTGGCTAGAATGTGTTCCATGATAAATTATAACCCCTCGAAACGACCTACCGGAAGAGTCTTAGCAATTTTGAAAAACTCTCCTAAAAGGGCGTCTGTTATTGGTTTTCTTTCTGTGAAGCAATCTCATGAGGATGATGAAGGTTTGGGAAGACTGGTTGATGGGCGCTTTTCCAAGAAAAGTAAGAACCAGCTTGCAGAACAGGAGGTGGAGTGGATATGGTTGGTACACACAGATCCAAGATTTCCGAAAATGGTGGTCAGTGTTAGAACCCTTCCAGATAGTGTCAAAGAACGGGTGAAGGCTGGTGATGTGACAGTTGAAAGGGAACTGGTTTCTGCAGAAATATATGAATGGAACGAGGATACTCTACACCCCCATGCTCGGGTTGTAAATGTTTTTGGCAGGGGTGGAGAAATTGAACCACGAATTGGCGCTATTTTGTTTGAGAATTCAATCTGTGCAGCAGAATATTCTACAGAGTCACTAGCTTGCATTCCAGACAGGCCATGGAAGATCCCTGACGAAGAGTTCAAAACTAGGAGGGATCTTAGAAATATTTGCTCCTTTACTATTGATCCTTCTCATGCTATTGATCTTGATGATGCTTTATCCGTTGAAATATTGTCTGATGAAGTACTTCGCATCGGAGTTCACATTGCAGATGTTTCATACTTTGTTCTTCCTGATACAACTTTGGATGCCGAAGCTCAAGCGCGGTCAACTAGTGTTTATATGTTACAGCGCAAATTGCCAATGTTGCCTCCAGATCTTTCTCAGGAATTGTGCTCACTTTCGCCAGGTGAAGATAAACTTGCCTTTTCTATTATTTGGGACATCAATCTTTCTGGAGAAATAATCGATCGCTGGATTGGACGGTCCATTATCACTTCTTGCTGCAAACTGTCATATGAGTTTGTTCAGGCTCTAATTGATAAATCATTTGATGCTGATGAAGTTTTTCTATCATCCAGCATTGGCACTGAGTTATATGGATACTTTAGTTTAAAGGATGTTATTGAATCTCTTAAAATTCTTTATGAGATCTCTAGCAGGCTTAGAAAAACCAGGTTTAATGATGGTGCTCTTCAGCTTGAAACCGTTAAAATTAGTTTCTTATTTGATGAGTATGGGATACCATATGATAGTATAATAAGTGAGAGGATGGAGTCCTGCTCTATAGTCGAGGAATTTATGTTATTGGCAAATAGGTCTGTCGCAGAGGTCATTTCCCAAGCCTTTCCGGATTGTTCATTATTACGTAGACATCCGGAGCCAATTCTAAGAAAGCTCACGGAGTTTGAAAGATTTTGTAGCAAACACGGCTTTGAGTTAGATACTTCGTCTTCTGGTCAGCTTCAGCTTTCCCTTCTAAAAATCAAGGAAGTGATTAAAAATGATCCTGTTTTATTTGATATTATAAACTCTTATGCTTCAAAGCCTATGCAGCAGGCAGTATATTTCTGTACTGGAGACCTAAAAGGGAGAAAAAATGAATGGGCTCATTATGCACTTAATGTTCCCTTATATACTCATTTCACATCACCAATTCGGAGGTATCCTGATATCATTGTACACCGGACCTTGTGTGCTGTGCTTCATGCTGAGAAAATGTATCTAAAGCGAAGTGTGGACAAACTAGAATCATCTGAAACTGAAATCATGAGCACATATTTTGCTGGACTTCGCTTTAATAAGCATGCTGCTGAATCTGCATTTGGAAGGGAAGCCCTATCTGCTTCTGCATTGAAGTTCAAAATACCAGATGGCGATGCTTTGGGAGAACTTGCTGCACATTGTAATGAAAGAACTCTAGCTAGCCGACGAGCTGAGGAAGCTGGGGAGAAATTATACATATGGGCTCTTTTGAAGCAGAAAGAGACCCCTCTAGTTACTGAAGCTAGAGTTTTGGCATTGGGACCAAGGTTTATGTCAGTTTACATACAAAACTTTGGTATGGAGCTGCGCATACATTATGATGAAGTTAAGTGCTTGGCTGTTGAATGGCTTGAAATGACTGGTTTGTTGGTGTTGGACTTGATTAGGAGTAAGATTATCCAAAGAATGGATAGCCTTGAAAATTTTCGTCCCCTTGAAGATGTTGTATTGTTGACATATCCATCTGTATCAGATCTTGATGAAGAAGGCACTGAAGCAATTAGTTTTGGAGTAGATGAAGAGGGCACTGAAACAATAAGTTATGGAGCTTGCTCTGCTAATGTTACACCATCTGTATTTTCAGAAAAGAGAAAGCTTGAGGCTGTTTTTTTTCCTCTAGTATTGCAGAATTTGTCGTCCGTACCTGTTGCTCTCCATGCCGTTGGCGGTGATGACGGTCCTATAGGCATAGAAGCTAAATTATATGTCAGCTCATACTTTAGTTAGGTGCTGGAGCTGTAGAAATCTCTTGGCATAGAAGATGATTGAGAATTGAGGAATTTTTTTAATCTTGTTGATCTTAGACTCTGAATACAAAGGATGATGGAACTTTTACCCACAGGATTCCTGGACCAACAGCTCTTGATTAATTAACAGTTATTTTAGGTATGCTGCTTCTCCTAAGCTTCTTTTAAAATTTGTTTTCTTTTCTAGAAGGAACCGTTGACATTGGAAGTTCTTTACTATTTTAGTATTTTGATATACTTTTCCATTTTCACGCCTTTGAAGCTTTTTCTTCTTAATTAGCTCTAAACCTTTTTGCACCTTTGATACTTTTTATTATTGAGTTTGCAGATCTATCTTACTCCCATCTCCACTTCCAACAACACCAACCCCAAATGGTATGCTGATAGTGGTGCACAAAGGTGCTTTGTCATCTGCTGTAGTTTGTTATAGTTGATATATGAAGGAGAACATGCTATACTAACAAGTTTACACTTTTATTTGTCTTATTAAGTAATTTATTTTCTGCTAATCTTTTAGTATTCTGATAAACTTTTCTATGAGCAAATGCCAATTGCTTCCAGAAATTAAATATTGTGATTTTACTGGGAGGAGGACTTTAAATATATTTGTGCATGTTCTTCTTCACGGATTCCATTGCTTTTTGAAATCAAATCTTGTCCCTATTTGCTCTGGATGACCACTTTAGACATATTTATATGTATAGCACAGAGCCCTGCATTGGGTATCCATACCCACACCCACTCACATACCCACCCATACCCAATGGGCATGGGTGGGTATTGGTACGCCCATGGCCTCGTGGGTGGATATGGGTGGGTACTTAACATCAGGGGACAAATCGATTTACATTACTAATCACCATATGCATGCAGTAAATTTCAATAATTCTTACTATGTAGTGTGCAACATTGAACCGCGTCGCGACCACGATAAATTTTGATATGTGACTTGAAAGTTTGCAGTCAGAGAAAAGTGAAAAAACCTTAAGGCCATTAATCCGTGGCAGACTGCATTCAAGAAGTGTGAAAAGTGGGTGGGTATGACATCCCGAAAGTTACCATAGGTGGGCGTGGGTAGGCAAAGCTCGCCAGCGCAGAGCGTGGGTACCCAACCAGAACCCATGTAGGGCTCTGGTATAGCAACCGAGAACAATGAAGAGTAGCTTTCAACACTTGGTGTGACACTGTATCAAATGTTTTGGTTGGATTTGAGTAAACCAAGAAAAACCTGATTAAATGGAAGAAATTATCTAAAGTGCTCTTAAATTGTGAAAGTATTCCTAAACCCTTCTAAAAAGGAAGGAAAGAATTTCACCATAAAGTCAACTTGTGGTGTAATTATTGCAAGAAGAAGGGCAAATCTAAGAAAAATTGATAAGCCAAGAAACGTTCTCAATTCTCCATTTGGATCATGCTCTCTAGCTAAAAATGACAAAGCTTTTAATTTTTTTATATATTTTTAATGCCTTTAATAGTTTCTCCAATGCCTGAGTAATATACTACGTGCCACTTACCACATGACAAATTCTGCCAATATCTTCTAAATCTATCATCTCTATCATAGCAATAAATACTCAAAGTAGCTGATGACTCTGTAATCGCTATAGCAGGACATGGGAATATTCCCATTATTCAATTACTTAAATCTCAACAATGTAATACATTTCTCTCATATTGCTGTTAAATTGCAAGGTAACATTCTTTATTGATCTGTGTTTCTCAAGACCTAATTATGAGGAAGATGATTGGGCAAGATTGAGAAAATGATTAATTATATTTACTGGAGGGAAATAATAGTTGCAAAAAGTATTCAACTTTCTCCTTTATTTATATTTGTCACGACGATACTATTTGGGATCATCATTATAGATTAGGACATTCATATTTTAAAGTCCTTAAATGCATGTTACCTTTTTTATTAAAAAATGTTGACATTGACGAATTTCATTGTGAAATTTGTGAGATTGCTTAACATCACTAGATATCATTCCCTTTAAGTGAATTTCGATCATTTACTTCGTCCATGTTACTCCACTTTGATATTTAGAGACCTTCAAAATTCTCTATTTCCATCAGAAAATTTCCGGCGGATATTATTAGTTGGAAATTTCATCAGTCTTTCTGATAGTATAATCCTTCCAAAATTTTGGTGGTCTGGCTGCCGAAAATTCCAGTGGAATGAGCTCATTGAAAATTTTGCCGAACCATTTTTTCCTGCAGAAATATTCTGTTGGTTCTTCTCACAAATTTTCCTTCGCAATTCCTTCGAAAATTTGCCATAAGTATTTTTGACAGAAAGATTTTCAATGAAAGTCCTTTTCATTTGACCTTTTTTGTGACAGAAATGGAGTCGTTAAAAATCCGTTGGTAAATATATTTCCTAGTATATATATTTATTTGTTTGCAGGGTTTGGCCGCCGGAAATTGATGAATTTTCTATAGCGATGATAATAATTTCATTTTTAAGATACTGATATATCAGATTCTTGCTTTAAATAAATAGATTTTCTACGACCTTCTTATGGATAATTGAAAAATTGAAATTTTGGAGTATTATAGCAATAAAAGTTTATTGTGATATAAAGCAACAATTGTTATTAATCATAATTCTTTTCTTCATGATCAAATCAAATATGCAGAAGGCATAAAAAATTTTACCAAAAAAAAGAGGAAGGACTGATTTGCATGTCTTACATACTACTGAACATGAAAAATATTCTTATAAAAGGGCTGCAAAAAGGACAATTTACCTACTTGATAAGCAAACTTACTATCCAAGACATTCTCAAGTCATCTTGAGGGGACCATTGGCTAAGTGTGGAGTCTAATTTATTGAACTTATTTGGATAATATTTGATCTTGGTTTTCTAAGATTGGTAGTTACCAATTTAAGATTCATTCATACTTGATTTTCAAAGATGGTGGTTAGATAATTTAATTAATATTTGAATTTTCAAAATAACGATTAACCTCATGGACGGATTTAGGGAGGGAGCCAAGCGGGCACATGCCCCCACCTCTCCGCCCCCTTTAGATTTCATAATCTTTTTTTAACATTCTTGTTATTTATTTTTTATTTTAATGGAAACATAGTGTATCATCTTTATTCTTTTATTCATTTCCTTGTAGTTTTGATTTTTATATGGAAATATATTTTATTATTATATTATACTATAGTTAAAATTTTATCATAATAATTAATTCTAATGAAAAAGTCAATTCGTGCTTAATTGATGCAATCCCACAATAAGAAGCAATAAAAATAGGAGAGGAAAAGGAAGAGAGGAGAGTTGTGTAATCTGAGAAAGAAATGATGGAATTTTTTGGGTGCTAGCAATGAGAGTTCTTTGGCTTCTTTAACAAGGATGAAGTGCTACTATTTTTTGGTTCTAGTAAGAGAACAAGATCTTGGTCATGGTAAAGATTTATTCTCCTTTGGACTCATACAACAAAGAGGTGAAGAGAATAACTGGAGTAACATAAATATCTCCTTCACATCTACCCCTCAGATTCATAGCAAGTGGTGGCCACATTTCTCTCAACTAGATTGTGACATGTTTGTCCATCTCTCCAACTTTGTATGAAGTATAATATTTCATATATATAAAATTTTGAAGTTTAGTAGATTATTCGATCTCTCTGTAGAGTCGTTGATGTAGGCTTACTTAAGTCGAACGATATAAATACTGATGCTCTTTGTTTTTGTGGTTATTGATCTCTTGCGCTTACTTTGTTGGTCTTCTTACTTGCCTCTAAGTTGATAGCAATCACTTTCCTAACAATTGGTATCCAAGCAAGGTCATGAAAAGTTCGATAAACTTGAAGTTCAAGGTTGAGAGAAGTGATGGCTCAAAGTGTTTTGGACCAGAGAACTAAGATGCCTTGTGTATTTGTCCAACAGGAACTTGTAAAAGCACACATGTGATGTAGTAAGATACCTAAAGTAATGAGTAGAGAAGGCAAGATAGAGATGGATGAGAAGGTTTTCTTAATGATTAAATTGTATTTGACAAATGAGGTCTTAGCAAAGGTCTTTGAGGAGACAACTAAAGAATGTTTGTGGCTTAAACTGGTGTCTTTGTATACGGCCAAAAGTCTCTTAAAAAAACTTTATCAGAAGTAGAGACTATTGGCTTCACATGTTAGAAGTTGTGTTTATTAAATCACATTTGAATGAATTTGATTCCATAATTTGAGATTTGAGGAATATTATTTGATTGTTGATGATGAAGATTAAACTTTATTACTATTGTGTTCTTTATCTTTCTCTTGTAAGTACTTTCATAATATCATATTGTATGACCGCGATACAATAAGTTTAGTGGATGTCAAGAACTAACCACTTTCAAAATACTAGTTACTACGCTCGAGGGAAATGATAAACTAGTTGAAGTTTTATTGCATATTAGAAGAAGATCTTAAGCGAGGGTTCTCCTATAATCATGGCATGAGTAAATCTCAAAATATATTAAAAGAGATTATATGTGCAAACATAAGGTTTTGGCACTAGGAAGTTAAAGGTGCATGGCAGTGTAACAATATCATTTGTTGGTGTCAGATACACAATATTTTTGAAGAAGAATCTAATATCTTTTAGAGTTTTTAGTGTTGCAGTATATAGATTCTCTAATAACATTGATGCTCTTAAAGTAGAGAAATTGTTCCGTGCGAATGCCGAATGACATCTAGAGACCAACCATAATGCGTCACATCACCCACTGCTCGGTACCCGGCTGGGTACCACGGTACCGCGGCTACTGCTCAGTACCCAGCTCCGTACTACTCACGTGGCACATTCCGGTTGGTCTTCGGACGGTAAACTATGTTCGGCGTCTGCACAAAATAATTTCCCGGTGAAAGTAAGGGGCATTGGTTGACTTTAAGGAGAACAAAATTTGTGAACTTTGTCTTGCAGAATACAATGTCATGTATTGCAGTGGTAGATTCAACAACTGTGATAAGAACTTATGGAATTAACAATGATAATAAAGTATATGAAGTACCAGAAAAGTGAGAGCTGTCTATTATAAAACTTTTATCAAGTGGGAGCTTTCAATAATAAAAGGGCACTATATGATAGTCAAAAATTCAGAATGAAAGAGCAACATAATAATAAAATAAAGTTTGATAATTTTGGCACTAATGGATTGAGGTCTTGCAAAGCCTAATTTTACCTTAACGACTTCAAAGCATAATACTAAGTTAAGTGTTGCAGAGATGAGAATGCTTAGGTGAATGAGTGGCTTGACCCTTAGATAGGATACGAAATGAGCATATACGTGAAAAGGTTGGAGTAGCTCCAGTGGAAGATAATATTAGAGAGAGTCGCCTTAGATGATTTGGTCACATTAAACGAAGGCCTCCCGATAACCCGGTTAGGAAAGTTGAGGTATTAGATTTGACTTATGTTAAGAAAGGTAGAGGTAGACCTAAAAAGACTTGGTTAGAAAATATTAGAAATGATCTTTCTTTATTAGATTTAAATGAAAATTTGACTTTTAACTAGACACAATGGCAAAAAAGGATTCATGTAGCTGACCCCACATAGTGGGACAAAGGCTTGATGTTGTTGTTGTTGTTGTCGTCTTTTGTGGTTGTCAATCTCTTTTATAGTTAATTTGTGTTTCATCATTCAATCCTGCAGTAATTTCTCCAGCTATTGCTGTAGATTTACCCTGCCTCTCATGTACAACTGCTGTTATTTGAATTGGATGTATATGAAGAAACTCTACACTTATAAACATTTTGATGGATTTATTCTATCCTTTGTTCTGCATGCTTTTGTTACCTAAAAGTGTAGAGGTTTATACACTTGGAATTATTAGGTCCTCCCACCTGACGTATAGCTACGTCCTCCCACCGCCAAAAAACTCGGTTTTTGCTCGGTATTGCTAGGTATTATTTGGTAATAACGAGGAATATCATCATGTGAAGACCAATACCGAGTTATACCGAGCTATACCGAGCAATACCGAGTTATACAAAAACATACCGAGTTTTTTCTAGGAAAAACTAGGTATTTTTTTTATATTGCTCGGTATAGCTCGGTATAACTCGGTATTGTCTTCACATGATGATATTCCTCGTTATTGTTTGGTATTGCTCGGTATTTGCTTGGTATTTCTCGTTTTTTAGCGCGATTTTAGCTCTGAGAGGACGTAGCTCTACGTCAGGTGGGAGGACCTAATAATTTTTCATAAACAAGAGAGTTTCTTCCTACTCTTGTTCTGATTTTCTGCGTTTGTATAAATTAGTATGAAGCATACATATAAAGCTCCACACTGTCTGCCACTTCGAATCCAGCCATGGCATGCAGCTATTGCTATGCTGTCTACCAAACATGGAGAACAAGAAATGTGAAGAAGCGTGGAAGGTCCTTTGGGACTCCCATCATATTAACTGCCACCATCCTCACCACCACATTGAATCACTCACATCGGTATCCTCTCAAAGTGTATCGTGTCAATATTTGATAAGACCTGAAAATCTGACTCGAACCTTTTCTGAAAATTTTGGGTTAGGGTTGGTTTCGGGTTCGGGTTCAACAAATCGACCCGTCGGGTTCGAGTTGACACAGTGATCCGAAATTGACCCATTTTTTTATCCGAAAACCCGAGATTAATCCGTTTAAACATGAAAATTAGAGATTGACCCATTTTTTTACTCGAAAATCAGAAATTTTTGGTCGGTCTTCGATCATTAGGGTCGTCTCGGGTTGACCCGAACCCGAAGCAGGTCGGGTTCGGGTTTGAAAAAACGACCTGTTTGCAAAAACGTGTTGGATTCTGGTTGACCCGAATAGTGCCGGGTTAGTTCCAAGTTCGACCCGAACCCGACCCGTGACCCGAAATTGACACCACTAAATTTCTTCCCAACATTGGTGGGTAGCATGGTGGATGAAAATTAACATTGATGGGGACCTTCTACCTTCCCACCATGCTGGGTTGGGAGCAGTGATCCTTGATGATCAAGGAGAACTCATTTTGGCTGATAGCAAGCGAACTGAGCATTGGGTGGCATACAATTGGAACTTGAAGCTGTCCTTTTTCTCCAAAGCATAGTTAAGGCTTCCTTTGAGACGTTTTTTTTTTTTTTTCCTCTACTTTTTAAAGCAACTTTCTAGTTCAAATTTTTAATTTTTTACTAAAAAGCTGTTTTAAGAAGCATAAAGAAAGCCGTCTCAAACGAAGCCTAAATCTAGGATGTTCGACGTGAAAGGCATCATTAATCATTATTGAAGGAGATAGCATTAAGCTAATCCAATAGCTCCAATACTCAATGGAAGAAATCATATGGCACTGCCAGCCCAATATTGGAGCTAAGATAGCCTTTCTAACTCCCCATTTCTCATTATACACAGCGGCATTGCAACAAGGCCGCCAATTTTTATGCAACTTTTATATGAAATGTTTTAGATAATTGTAACCTTCTTTTTTTTTTTTTTTTTTTGCTGAGATATAAAAATTGTAACCGTCATAATTTTTCAAAACCTTTCATTTTACTCCACATGTCTGTCATTGCAAAAAGTTTATTAGCAACTAAAGTTTCGTTTGGGACAGCTTTCTAAAACAGTTTTCAGTACAAAAATTTTTATTTCAAGAAATTTTTATGTTAGAAAATTGCTTTTGAAAGCAGTAAGAAAATTGTCCAAACAAAGCCTAAAATATCACATTTTTTGTTATTTTGCTTGTTGCACTTTATACTATTTAATTATTTATAAATCAAGCTTGTTAAACCTTAAATTTTCATTCTTTTTATTTATTCAGTTAACACAGTTTGTGATTGAAAAAAATAAAATAAAAAATCTGGATGAGTTTGGAATCTATTTAATCTGCTTTGAGATTAGTGCGGTTTAATTTTTGATTGATTACTCGTGTTATGTTCTTCTTAAAATAAATTAAATAATTTTTAATTTATCTGTCCTAATATACAGATTTTACTTATGATTGGATTTCGAATAGAATAAGATGGCATTTTAATAGTTCTCTCTTGATTTAGATTAGTTATTATCCGTGGATTCTGGATGCCGTTCGAAGGCGAATCATAATGAGCCACGTCACTCGTTTGCTGGGTACCGGTGCTTGGTACTGCTATGTACCGACTGATGTGGCACATTGTGATTCGCCTCCGAACGGTCCGGAATCCGCACAAAATAATTTCTCCTCATGCATTCTATATGGTTACCATACTTGAAAATTAAATTTGAATAATTTCTTGGCTGCTTGATCTGTTCTTTTGTTTTTTTCAAAAAAATGTTTGAGAGAAATATATAGAGGAAATAAGTGATTTAAAATTAAATAACCCATAAAAAGGGCATTATTTGCATTACTTAAAAAAATGAACGACTATAAATAAATGAGTATTAATGCTTTGTTTGAGACCGCTTACAATTTTTTTAAAGTAGCTTTTCAGTGTGAAAAATTTTAATTCAAAAATTTTTTGTATTAAAAAACTGTAATAAACGTTGTTCCAAACGATGCCTAAATCAAAGACTTTAGATGAGTTCACACTTATTTGAAGCATGAGTTAGCTAAAGAATATGTTTAGCTTTTTGGAAACTTTAGCAGGCTCGATTTTGAACTGTTTAAGCTATTTATTAACTTCAGAATTTGGAGCAATTATTACGTCCGGTTATCGAACGCGTTCATAGACCAATAAACACGTGCCACGTCACCTGAAACTCGGTATTGCTCGGTATACATTCAAATATGTTCGGATTTGACCAGACGTAATAATTACTCCAGAATTTGAAGCACGAGTGCGATATTGATTTACTGTAAAGAGAGACTTCTTTATGTTAGGTAGTAGGAAGGAATTTGATCAGAGATGTAATTGATAGAAATAACAAATATGACATAATCCTTATTGATCTAGGAATAAATGCAATAGTCTTATTGTATTAGTAGGATGGTTTAGGTTTAAGGCTTTATAGTGTATATTTTTTTGTAAGTATTATGAGTGTAGATTAGAAGAAATATATGTTTTTATTTTTCGGTGTTTGATTTGAAGTAAATCAAATATGAAACATAAATGTCATAAAATGTTTATTTTGGATGAATTTGGGCAAATTTCAAAGTGAGAAAACTCATGACTTTTAGTGCATTTAAAATATATCATAATAATTAAAAAAAAATCAATGCATGTAATTTACATTTAATATAATAACTCCTACATTTAAAATTATTGTTTTGGGTAGCCACATGAAAGGGCGTTTGGCTGCGTGACTAATCCTTGATTGATCTAGAAGAGGCACCCGCCCCAAAAACACCTGACCCACACTTGATTGGACCTCACTTAAGAGGCATTGCCACTCGAGGGGAATCGAGCACCAGTTGGGGGGTTCCCAACCGTACTTGCCCACCAACCAAGCTAAGCATCGGTGGGTAGCTTATAGGTCTTGAACAATAGAGAATGATTGGTTGAATCACTCTCTCCTTCCTCTTGATCACACTACTTTAGATATTTATATTGGACCATCACATCCCCCGCAATAACGGGTGAATCGACAAAATGCCTTAGATCTCGAAAGATCATTATTATCGGAGATTTAAATCAAAAGTTTAGACCAAAACCGATTACTTCGTGGTACGAAACTTAAGATTATGTTCATCTTAATACAATTTATATCATAATATCGTTACGATATAATTGTTATCCAACACGAATATCATCACCATCAAACATTGCAAGAGATAAAACTATGTCTCATTGAACAAAATCATTTGAATAAGAATCTCAATATTATTGATAAAAGCAACTGAAATTCAATCATGAGCTATGTTTTACAATAATTCTCAGCTCAATAACAAATGAACATAACACCCCTTAAAAAAAAAAAAAAAAAAAAAAAAAAAAAAAAAAAAAAAACTTGAAATAATTTGTGCCTACCTTGATTTTTAACCAAGGTTAGGCTCTTTTATTCCATTTTCCTTATGAATAAACTAATTTATTCTCTCTTTCTCTGAGCATAGAGAGCTTATGCACATCGCTTTGATTGCAAAAGCTCTCTCTTTCTCTCTCTTATTTTTTTTATATGTACAAAAAATAAAATATATTGCTCTCCACCCAATAGTATATAAAAATAATTAGTCAATTGCTTCGTTTGGGACGGCTTTCTTACCGCTTTTTAAAGCAGCTTTATAGAACAAACGAAGCCTATTAGTTCTTTTCCGCTAAGCTATCGATTTTGATGGGCAAACCGTCGAGGGGGAGAGCAAAAGGTCCGAACTGAATTCCGCTTTTGGATCCAGAAATCGACCACCTGAAATAGTAAGTACAATCTCAATAAATTAGAAGGAAAAATAATCATTATTTGCATTCAAATATATATTTTTAAATTTTTCTTTATGTTATGGGTGTAAGAAAATCAAGAAGAAAAAAAAAAAACATTTTATTAGAAATATTAGATATTTAATTTTTTTATGACTAAAAACAATCAGAATTTGCTGTAAAATTTATGTCTTTTAATATATAAATCATTTATATTGTATTATGATCTAATTTATTGTGTGTGTAGGGGTGTCAATTTTTGACACAACCCGAATCTGACCCTGAAAAATCCAGATTCGGGTCAACCCGGACACAACGAAACGGGTCGGGTTCGGGTTCAACAAATCAACCTGTTTTAAAAATCAGGTCAGGTTCGGGTTGACCCAGCAACCCGAAATTGACAACTCTCAAAAATCAGAGACTTGGACCCGGACTTGACCCGAAAACTAGCAATTTTTAGATCAAATTTCGGGTCACTCGTGTCGGGTCGGGTTGACCCGAACCCGAATTGGGTTAGGTTCGGGTCTGGAAATCTGACCCGTTTATAAAAACGGATCGGGTTGACCCATACAGTGACAGGTCAGTTTCGGGTTCAACCCGAACCCGACCCGTTGACCCGAATTGACACCCCTATGTGTGCGTATATATATACAAAACTAACCTCAATCAATTAACTTCATTTCCAATAAACCACAAAAAAAATCTCATTTTTCACATTTAAAAAAAGATTTTCTAATTAAAATAAAATTTTAAAATATAAAATAAATTATTAAAAATAATAATCATATAAAATTTTATGATAAGATTGAATCCCATTCTATTTCCCAAAAAAAAAAAAAATCCCATTCAAAAATTGAAATCTTGATGTTGACTACATAGAACTATTGAGCTGCAAGCTTGAATATATATAAATAAAATATATAAAAGGAGATAGGGGAGATCTAATAAGAGAGAAGGAGGGGGAGGGGGACCCACTTGTATTTTGTGGTGAGGTGGTGGAGGAAGACGAGTATTTCCAGCTTTGCCAACTCATTTCCAGGGCAGGCGTGGGTCCCATTTCCGAAGGGCATGTACGTGTTCGGCTTTGGACTTTTCTGTCATCACACAACAAACAAAAACATATTTATTTCCTTTGATTGAGAGCTGACAATAATAAAAAAAAAACCATATGATGTATTTTTACTTTGAGATTAGTGCTAGTGATTAGTGGTTTACTTTGAGATTAGTGATTTGCGCTAATGTCCAAATGAATTTAATGAACGGATCAGAATATTCTGATGCATGAATAAAAAAGGAAAAAATGATAATATCAAGCTTTTAAAAATGGAGCTCATTTGTGTGAAATTTATGATTTAATATTTGATAATAATTGAAGGAACGCTCGCTGGAAATGAACGAGCAGAGACAGCGACTGTACCTTCCACGCCATAACGGATTCCATCAATGTCTCACTCTTCTGACTGGCGTGAAATTATTAGATGCGGTGAGCTCACCGAAAATAATTTTGGTCGTCGTTCGGATACCAATCAGAATGCGCCACATCACATATTCGTTAATTATCAAAGGTTCATGTACTGTTTGGTACCGTGGCTCGGTACAGCTGGCGTGACACATTCTGATTGGTCTCAGGACGACATTCTACGTCCGGTCTCGGAACAGAATAATTTCTCGATCATCGGACACCGTTCTGAGGCCAATCTGGACGCCCCACATCATCAATACACTGCATAAAGTTATTATGTACAGCTATATATCGAGTGATATGACACATCCTGATTGACATATGGACGGTAATCATCTCTTATAACCGGCACTCCACCTCTTTGTATATTTTAATTTTTAATCATTTTTAATATTTTGAGTGGAATTAATTATTTAATAATTGAATTTAATTTCAAAATAAATATTTAAATCATTTAAAAATAAATTTAATAATTATATATTACATTTATTTTAGGTAAAAGATTGTTGAATGGTACCTCAAATCTGGAGGGATCGAATTTTGCAGGGTCAGGAAAGTTTTCTGGGCTGTGGTGAATGTTTCTGAACAAAGGTAGCACCTTCCATCCCTTTGGAATGAGATAACCTGTCATCCACAAGATATTTATTTTAATTAATTAAATAAATAAGTGATAATTAAGCAAAAATAATACACAAAATTGAGTCTAAAATGTAGGTGTAAATTTCAAAATAATCCCATGATTATTCATATATGAACAATATACTCTAAGAGTATCACGTTGCTCTAATTTAGTCTCTTAATTATACAAAATTGATCCAAAATAATCCTTTTGGGACTAAATTGAGTCCATTTTGTTAATTTGGTGGATTAAATTAGAGCAACATCATATTTTGAGACTAAGTCTTCGTTGGGACAACTTTCGTACTGCTGCCAAAAACGACTTTCTTGTATAAAAAATTTTAATTCAAGAGCTAAAAAGTTGTTTTAGGCTTCGTTTGGGACGGCTTTTTTATTGCTTTCTAAAACCGAGTTTTAGTACAAATTTTTTTTTTTAATTTTTGTATTAAAACTCCGTTTTAGAAATCAGTAAAAAAGCCATCACAAACGAAGCCTTAGAAAGTAACAAAAAATCTATCCCAAATGAAACCTAAGCAACTTTCTTATTACTTCTTAAAGCAGCATTTTAGTACAAAAATTAAAAATTTTCTACTATAAAGCTGCTTTAAGAAGCAATAAGAAAGTCGTTCCAAACGAAGCCTAAATTGGCTATAGACGAATAATCAGGAGACTATTTCAAGATTTTTCTTCCAAAATGTGTAAGGGCAATGTTTCTATGATCAGCATAATTGTTAGAGAATAAAGATAGAATTTTTACATTATACATAATATATATATAATTGCAGCAACTGATCTAAGTAGTAAATAGATTGGAAAGGAAAATCTTATAAAAAAAAGAATGAAAATAACAGACCTTCATACTCAACATCCTCCACAGCCTCTCTGAAAGTAAATGAAAGAATAGAGGCTACTCTCATAGTCTCCTGTATCACTCTGCAAGTTACAGGCATCCTCTTTGTATCAGCCCAATTCAAACCACCCTCCTCATCTCCTTCAATCTTCCCTTTACTCCTCCTAATCTCCTCCTGCTCTTCCTATTTCAATCAATCAATACTAACAATCAACACACTGTACACCAATTAAAAGAAATAAACTAAAGGAGATGAATGATTAAAGATAGAGATTAATGGAGCTTACTGTTACAGCTTGTAGAATTGATGGATTCTCAGCAAGATACTTAAGAATCCAAGTAAGAACACTCGCCGTCGTATCTCGAGCGGCGAAGATGACACCGATGATGTTATCGGCGATCTGATCATCAGAAAGAGCTTCCTTTGATTCCATGAATGAGGCGAGGAGATCGCCGGCATCGAATTGATCTGTTTTGGCTTCTGAATCCCTTCTGGATGAGATGATTTTTGCAACCAGAAATCCTAATTGTTTCCTGGCCTTCATCGCCTTGTGAAACAGTGTTCCAGGTAGATTCATTGGCATTGAATTGTATCCCTTCTCCAGAATATAGTAGCATTGCTTCAACTCTTCAATACAGGATTGTTCCTCTTTTCCGAATATTGAAAGCAAGGCGACATTCAATGCGTACTGTAATTAAATTAAATATTGGTGATTAGGATTGACTCAGGAGTAATGGAAGACAGGATCTAATGGAGAAAAAATAGGGGAAATTTTGGAAAAAAGCATGTGAAAAAAATTAGGTTTTCTAACACAAGATGCATTGAATTCCTTTTTCTTATATATCTGTTTTTTTTTTTACAGTAAAAAATATAGATCTGGAGTTTTTGAACCAAATACAGAACAGAAGCACAAAATTTGCAACTAAGTATTTAATTTTCTGTGTTTTTTTTTCTTGTATGAATGCAAATCTTGATTTCATTTAATTTCTTTGTATTTATTGTTGAATTGCTTTGGAGAAAAACTATTCTGTTTCTTCCTATTTTTACTTATGGTGAGAAACAATAGCTTTTCAAAAGAATCAGAATGTGATTTTTCTTAAATTTATTTGATTAAAAAATATGTTTATAAAGAATAAAAATGTGTTTGAGAAAATAAAACATTCACTTTTCAAAGAAAATTATCAGAAAAAATCAATTAAGGTCTAATTGATTTTTCGGATATAAATAAAATTTTATTTGATTGACCTATGCATAAACTCACAAAGCAAATATATGTTGAATTATAGATTTTTTCTATCAGGTAGACTGAACATTAATTTAAAATTTTTTATATAGATTTATTTTAGAAATATAGACATGTTCTAACATAATTAGACAGGAAGTAGAAGCAGGACAGCGGATCAAATCTTTTAAAAAAAACAAGAAGAAGCACGTAATCCAAAATACGAACAAAGTGCCAAATCTGCTTCCAATTGTTGAATTAGCATTCAAAATATATCATAATTACCATTAAATTGCATTGCAGAAACCCTAGAAAATTTGGACACGCGGAAAAAGAGTAGGTCCTACATATCCTAATTTCAGATTTCAGATATCCGAAACTCACCGTCTTCATTTCCTGAAAAGTATTGATGAATCGGCCATCGCAAGACGATAGCACCCGAACCGCAATCTCCTCGACGCCGGCGATCTTTCGGCGGATGGCTTCCGGCATAAAAGCTCGAAGAACGAGGCGACGGAGTCTGGCGTGGTAATCCCCTCCCTGGAAGAAGATGGCCTGTGGACCGAGCATCCTCTCCTTACTGGCCGGGAAAGTAGGTTTAAAGAGATTCGCCTTTGTCACCAGAACGAATCTCGCGGCCTCAGGGCTTGAAACCATTACACAGGGACAACCAAGTATGTGGGTTTTGAACACAGCGCCGTACTTTCTCTGCTTCTCCGCGAAGAAATTGTTCGGATTGTTGGAATAGAGCTGGAATGTTTCGCCTATGTAAGGCCATCCCATGGATCCTGGAGGGAGATGCTTTGTTGCTGGTGGCGGTCTCTTCTTCTGTGTAATGTAGCGGAGAAGGAAGAAGAGGAGAACAGAGAGGATCAGAAGAACTGGAGGTATCGCCATGGAAGGCGAGATTGGGGAATGTAGAAAGCTTATTCAAGCAGAGAAGAAGCAGTAAGAGGAAGAGAGAGAGAGCGAGAGAAAGAGAGGGAAAGGGCGAGTTGGGCTATAAGGGTGAAAGGGGTTTTTATAGGGGGAGAAATTTTCCTCTAATGATAAATAATATTTTATTTAAATTTTTTAATTATTTTTTAAATGTTGAAATTAATTTGTTGAATCTAAACCTTCCTATAAAGAGCAACACTTTTAACCAACGAAATAATTGACAATCATTATTTTTTTTATTTTTTATTTGACAATCATTATTTTAGATATTATTAATGTTTAAATTTTAAATTTGTTATTATTTAGTTTTATTAATTTTAAATAAAAAATTAATAAAGGTAGTCAATAATTCAGAATTCTTCGATCAGTTAATCCCTCTGATCTTCTAAACCTTTACACAGATACCAAATAATATTAAAAAAATAGTTTGTTTAAAGGGAGATTTACATGCATATCACTCTATACTATTCTATTTATATATCTAACACATAAAATTTTAATATTACATAGATACCATCCACCATAGTTCATTTTTATATCAAATATGAGTGGTATAAATGAAATATTTGAGTGGTAGGAAGGAAATATGATTATATGAGTGACATATTTGATATTAAAATAATATATAATGGTATGTATGTAATATTAAAGTTTTAGGTATTAGATATGTAAATAGGATATTATAAAGTGGTATGTATGTAAATTTCCCTTGCTTGAAACTAATCTTCTTATGATTAGAAATTAGGTTGTTCAATAAGGTCTTCAACTCACACTCTCAAACATTAAAAAATAAAAGTATTTATAAAAAAAAAAACTTAGAAAAATGAGGTTTCTTAAGAACTTACGTCCCATGGTTTGAAGAACGAGAAGGGAGTGTGAAGACGGAGAGGAATAATGCCTGTACGGAGAGGAGTCTTTGTCATGGTTGAAGCGGGCCGCTTGTCGAGTTATAGAACGAAGAGGCGAACGGTTAGGTGCGGAACATCAAAACCTACTCACGCGAATGAAGGGGCGGACGGGAATGAAATATTCGAATATGAATATTAGGTTTTCTTTTCTTTCCAAAAGTTTTCTTATAGTCCGCTTGATGTAAATCCAATGGCTCTATTCCGTTTTAATTGAATTGGATGATTTTTGAAAGCCGGTGCGATTCGCCAGTTCCATGGTCTGTACGGTTTTTGAAAATCGGAGTTAGTTCACTAGTTACACAGTTAGATCGACGTACTGAACGATTGTTGGCCAGTTCTATGCGAGTGTATTGAATTTGAACTAGCTGGCCGCCGGTTCACGATTCCATTGGTTGAATCGACTGGTCTGATTTTAAAAATCGTAGTGACAAGTGTGAGTTATAAATTTTTTAAAAAATAATTACTTAAATTTTTTTAAATTTAAATTTATATATTAGAAAATTAGCGAAAAAAGAAATAGAAGAGATAGGAAGAGAGATAAGCTTTGAACATCTTTTTAAATTATTTGGTGTCTTGAAATGCTCTTTTGGCAATCTATTAATATATTTTAGTCAAAATTTAACTGTATAGGTAAATAATATAAGTAAAAATACCTATCAAAATTTGCTTATATTTGTTATAAAAATAAAGAAAATTTTCTAAGTACTCGATGATTTCTATGAGTTTATGAATTCTATTTTGTAGACATCTTCGATGAGTTTTATGATGCTCACCTGATGGTAGGGGTGTAAATAAATGACCTGATTTGAAAAATTCAGGTTTGAGTCGACCCGCTAAATTTTCAGGTTCGATTTCAATCTGAAATATTGACTTGGGGTGAATTTTTTGAGTCGTGTTCCTGTTGACCTAACAAGTTCAAATTGATCCGATTATCATTCCCGGTCGTGTTAAACGGGTCAAGCTCACGGTAAACAAATTGTGTAGATCTTAAAAAATTACATGTTCGATACGACAGACTTGTAAAACAGATCTAGTAAAGATTGGGTCAAACATTTTGACACATATAATAAACAATTCAGGTTCAGGCCAAATATGTTCGATACGGACCAACTTCAAATCAGACCCGAAATGGAGAATTAATCTATTTTATGCGGAGACCGGACGCAGAACGTCGTCCGGAGACCAACAAAAATGCGCGACACCGAGCAAGAGGTGACATGACGCATTATGATTGGTCCACAGGCTGACCCAACGGTTCCTCGAATCAAATTAATTCAAAATCATAATAAAATTTGATCAACTTGATCCACCTTACTAACTCTATGGATTACTTTGATATGATTAATAAAGTAATTAGTACAAAACCTAATCTAATTAATAAAAAAATGGAATCTGGATACAGCTAAACAAAGCATGGTTAGCTGAATCATGAGTCAGCGGTGGGAGACAGTTAAGAGTGAAGAAGGAAATCTGTGGGGGAGAAGAAGAGGGGAAAATACGCTAAGGAAAAGGACATAGTGGATTAGTGGGAGCCAACGAGAAGGATAAAGAAAGGCCAAAATGTAGAGAGTTGCTTTGCCACGCAACAAATCTCATGCGTATAAATGTATTAAAATAGGGAGAGATTTAGATAAATTATTTGAAAATTTAGAGAGGAAGATGTGGAGAAAGATCTTTATATTTTTTATATTTAAAAATTAAAATTAATTATTTTATTATGTCTCATCTTATGTATTTAGATGATCTCTTTAGTAATTTTATGATTCGATTCAGACGCTTTTTACTATTTTTCATAACAATTTTTAAGTACAAAAATTTTTAGTTCAAAAAAAAAAATGTACTTGAAAGCTGCTTTAAAAATCAGTAAGAAAGCAGTCCCAAATGAAGCCTAAGGTTTCATTTGGGACGGCTTTTTTATTGCTTCTAAAAATAACTTTTCAGTTTAAAAATTAAAAATTTTATACTATAAAACTACTTTAAGAAGCAATAAGAAAGCCGTCCCAAACGAATTGAAGACTTATTATTTATCTGAAATAATTTTTTTACTATTTTTTAAAATAATTTTTTAGTATGAAAATTTCTAATTAAACAAATTTTTTAAGTAAAAAATTGATTTAGAAAGAAGCCCCAAACGAAACCTTACAGTTTTCATAATATTTTTATAGTAATTTTTTAGTACAAAAATTTATTAAAATTTGTTAAAAATAGTGAGAAAAAATTGTTCCAAAAGAAGCCTTAATTATTTCTCTTTATTTTGAGATTTTGAGATGTTTTTTGTGATATATGTTTGAAAAATTAAGGAGATTTGAGTTTTTGATTGTGAGTTTAATTATTATTATTAAATGACGCTTCTTGTTTTTTTTTTTTTTTTTACATATCATTTTTTATTGTTATTGAGGTTTCGTTTGACACTACTTTCTTACTGCTTCTTAAAGCAGTTTTCTAATAAAAATTTTTAATTTTCTTCTAAAAATATTCTTTAAAAAGCAGTAAGAAAGCCGTCCCAAATAAAATCTAAATTATGATTGTTATTTTTAGTTGGATTGATTATGAAATTATCATAGAAATTAGTTGTTTGGTTTTGATGAAAAACATTCTATGTAAAAAAATAGGAGAATTTAGAGCTCACCCATTAGGTCATTTTTGTGTATAATAAAATCTCTCAATTTTATCTGATTTTATATAATACACTGTTCATCTGCTGCCACTCATTATAATGTTGTCGCCGGTCGTCATTATTGACTACTGCTGCCAAGTTTTATACTATATTCATTTTACTTCAAATAAAATACAAAAAATAATCTCATGTATTTGATTTTATACTTAATGAAATAGTTTTGAACATTTGGAAGACGCTACATTTTTTTTTATTTTTTTAGCAAAACAAATAGCCCTAAGCGAGTTCAAAAGGTATTTGATTTTAATTAGCTTGAATAAATTAGAAATTAAATAAGCTCAAAATTACATAAAAACTTGTGTAAGATCATATGCATGTATTGAGTCTATGGTTGCAAAAATAATTGAGAAAGGAATACGAACAACATTAAATTAGGCAAACATTGTTCATTGAAGACAAATTGACTATACTAAAGCTTTAGTTTGAGACAGCCTTCTTACTGCTCCTTAAAATAGCTTTTTAGTATAAAAATTAAAATTTTGTACTAAAAAATTAATTTGAGCAACAGTAATAAAGTTATCACAAACGAAGCCTAAATCAAATCTATCCTCCATATTAGTATATGCCATACTACCACAAGTGAAAGAGCAAGCAAGCGTATAAAAAATCTATGATGACCATAATACCTTTTATATCTAATGAGTGGGATCTCCATCATTTATTATCAATATAAATGAAGAATATTTTTTGTATAAGGACTAGGGGTGTCAATATTTGACACGACACGAAAATCCGACCCGGACCCGACCCAAAAAATCCGGGTTGGACCCGATCCGATTTCGAAACGGGTCGGGTTCGGGTTCTCATATTCGACCCGTTTGAAAAAACGGGTCGGGTTCCGAGTTCGACCCGAACCCGACCCGTGACCCGAAATTGACACCCCTAAATTAAGACCATAAAGCCTTTTTTAAGAGTAAGATTATCAAATGTGGAGCCAATTGGATATGCATCATCTACAGTGAAGCACTCAAAAATAAATAAATAATTAACCAAACACACAAAAGTAAAAGTGAATGCATAAAATTGTTTATGGTGTGAGTGAGTGGACATTATGTAGATAAGGAATTTGATTACTTAATTAGCATAAACATCATTAAACCAATTCAACTTATAAAACAAAACAAACAAGTGAACTAAGATGCATATGTATGAACAATTGAGGAGTAATATAACATATAATTAAGTTATAAACTAACCACTAAACTGTGCAAGTCGTGGCTCGCTTAGGACTTTGTTTGAGACAACTTTGTTACTGCTTTTTAAAGTAGTTTTTTAGTACAAAAATTTCTAGTTCTACTAAAAAATTGCTTTAAAAAATAGTAAGAAAAGTATCCCAAAGCCACACAAAAGTTATATTATTACATAAGGAGTGTGAGCATAGATATTATTAACCACAAAGTAAATGATTAATTCAACTTAAGAGCATAAGAAGATTGAAGCAAGACATAAACATTCAACCAAGAAATTAATTAAATTAAA